AAGATGGCGTCTTGGGGAAACAATCGAGGTAGGGATATTTTTGGATATCTTCGAAAACAGATGTATTGAGTAACACTCTGTCTGCGGTCATTGTCAAAGGAAATAATAATTAATTTCTTCGTTGAGAGGTTATGCCGTGAAGTATTTTGAATGGTCTCTATGAACTCATGACGTGTAAATAAAATGTAAATAATTTTTCATCGAGAGCTAGCTGTCTTTTAACTTCTCAAAATAATTTGATTGAAATTTTTCAATTGTTGTTTTTGTCATCTGGCATGTTGTGCAGGTTCGAGGACTACCTCTGCAGATGAAATGTTGGAAACAGAAAACAATCGAATGGTGGAAGATTTGGCGGCAAAAGTTTCCCGGTTAAAAGGGGTAGGAAGACATAACTGAAACACTGTGTTGTTTTAATATACTTTTAAAACCCTAAGATCAGTATAAATAATCTCCGTACTGTTCTCTATACTTTTCCTGTGGTGCTGACAAGGAGAATGTTTTTGATGGTCAAGAGCTTCTATAGTTAGATTTCCTTTATTCTCGTGACATTAATGTAGGGAGAAGTTAGATATCGGTCACTTGTAGGAGTTTAAAGGTGAAAGGTTGGGTGTTACAAAAACAAAGACCCTTGAAATTGAAGACTTAAGACCTAAGACCCAGTCTTCGTTTTCATACTATGAAAACAAAGACCCGTGGTCTTCGTAGTACGAAAACGAAGACCCTGTAAGCAGAAAACCGTAGAAATTACAAGTTAAACACACATTAATCAGCAACAACGCTTCGTAATATAAGGTGTAGTAGTAATACAATGCTTAGTAATATAACGGTGATAAGACTGAGCTTTTGGTCATTGGATCGGGCAATCTGTCTGCTTCTCGGCTTCCTTCTTTTACATCTATTGATGGATCTGTTATACAGCCTTCGAACTATGCCAGGAACATAGGTGTAATCTTTGACAATAAGTTAAATATGGAACATCAAGTTTCGGCTATTTGTAAATCTGCATTTTTTCACATCCGGATTATTTCTCGGATTAGAAAGATTTTGTCAGTTAGTAGTACTAAGGCATTAGTACACGCCTTCGTTACATGCAGATTAGACAACTGTAATTCTCTGTTGTATGGTCTTCCGAAACATTTAGTTCATAGATTGCAATTAGCCTAGAATTGTGTGACACGGCTGATCTTATGTGGTCGCAAGCATGATCATGTTACTCCTTTACTGAGGGAACTGCACTGGCTCCCCGTGGAGTAGAGGATTATTTTTAAAATCTAATTTTTTTACTTTTAAAGCTTTAAATAATTTATGCCCTAGTTATATCAGTGACTTGTTAGNCTGGTTGCGGCAAATGAAAAATATCCCTATGAGGGCTGCATGAGATTATGCGAGCAGGGGTTGGAAAAGCGAGCAGCAACTAAAACTAGAAAGATACACGGTTCGTACGTGTCTTGAAAACCCTTGAATTTCAGGAGGCCGATTTCAAGGCCTTGAAAGTACTTGAATTTCGTTTTGGGTCCTTGAAAGTCCTTGATTTTTTATTGAACAACATCAAAAAATATCTGCTTTTGTTTTGCACCATCGGTAAACCCAAAACATAGATGTTAACAGAAACATTTTTCTTGGTTTTGAGGTGAAATTGTCATTACAAAAAGTCCTTCAAATTTCTAAGTAGGGTCCCGGAAAGTCCTTGAAAAGTCCTTGAATCTTTGGCCTGAAAAAGTGTACCAACCCTGCCCTGGGATATCTTAACCCAGCTTTTAACAACTTGCCTTAGGATGCTAGATTTAGCTTTATAACCTTCTTACTGACTGACAAATATGTAACTAACAGAATAAAGTATAAAGGGTTACAAGTGTTAAGTGTCTTCAAAAAATAGTTCAAAGGGAAGACATTGCATAAGGATTAAGTTGTGTTGTATGCAAGATGGTACATGGAAGCTTTAAAATTACTTACAGTTAATCTTTTTAAATTACACCCTCAACTTGCACTTGCTTTATTTCTGTAAGACATAATTGTAGTCTAGTTATGAAGTCTGATTTGAGACCCAGCCAGGTGAAAGCATTAATTGTGTTCTTCGGCAAGACACTTCCCTCTCACAGTGCCTTTCTAAAGGGCAGTGCCTTGCATGGGTCCTTGTGTCCCATTTGCATCAACCCTATTCTGTCTACAATGTCTGAGTCATACCTAATAAAGCTGTTATAATATGTTTGTATGTATAAATATATAAGGGGAATTGGGCAGCATAATTATATGTTTTACACTATGACAAAAACAGTTCTTTAGTTCAACTTTTACCACATGTAATTAGTGTCACTAGATTATCCTAAAAGTTCTACTCAGAGCTAAATATCTGTAAATATGCATTGATATGAAACTGTGTTATTTTTTCCTTGATTCAAATTTAAGCATTTTTCTTAGAGAGAATGTTAATGAATGTGAATTTGGATTATTGAAGATTATTGATCGTTATATATTTGTAACTTAAGGACATGAATAATATTCATAATGACTAAACACCTTTATAAGAATTCAGGGGGGAAAAAGTAAATGACCACATGTAATTCTAGGAAAACCAAAATAAAGGTCTGGAAAATGAATTCTGTTTCTTATCCTTTGCTTACTATGTATGAGTACATCAGTGACTATAAATATACAGATTTAAGTCGTAAATCAAAACATTGGCAGCTATTTATGAGATTCCTAAAAACCCTATTAAAAGTGAGGTCAAATAATTTCTTTTTTTTTCCATGAAGAAATGATTGTTTATTTGCAGGTAAATATAAGTCATTTTCTTTTAAAAAGGTTTTTCAATTTGATGAGAGAGTAAATGTAAATGGTTTCTATTAATCCAAACCAAAAACTTCAATTGTATGTACAAGTCAGTAGCAGTTGTAAGCTACCGGTACATAGTGAAGTTCAAGAACAATCTACTCATCAGCATTGTAGAGCTTTTTTGTGCATTTCTTTACCCTTATCATCCTTTATCACATAACCAAAGTAAAGCACACACTCTGATTGGTCAATTCTGTGCAAACCATTTTCCTGGGGTTTATGCTGCTGACATGAGAAAATGCAAAGACTAGTTTCCCTGCCCTTGTTTATCTGGTNTGTCAGCCATAACTGTCAGCCGTGTGAAAAATTTACCAAAAGGAAAAAATGGGAACTGGCACTTTTCACTGTATTTTTCTGCCCTGTGTTTTTCTCTGACTTTTACTATCATATCATTAAAGAGAACAGTAATTAGACTCACGTGACCATACACTCTACCTGTGTACACATGTTTATGTTTAGTGTTGTTAAGTTCTTCAGCTGACAAATGCTTCTTAAGCCTTCATCTGTGATGCATGTACAGTGACTAATGTCCAAAAGTTTCAGTTGTTCTAAATTCTTTATTCCTTTTGGTACCTACAAGAAATAAAAGAAAAATCTAAACATTAATATGAATAAGAAGTGAGTGGCTTGAAAGATTTGCCCAAAGTAAGTAGGTGAGATAATGGGAGTAGTAAAGGTGAGGGAGAGGGGGGTTGGGTCCTAGTTTATTTTATAATTTTAGAAAACTTTCCATGTCATGAATAGTTAAACAACATCTCATGCATTAAATCTAACATTGCAGGAACCTTCAAATCTCTCTTCTTGTAAGTGAGATTTCAGGAAAATCTTCAGATTTTCAACCATTGAAAGAAAAAAAGTCATGGGTCATAGTGTCATATATACTTCAGGAGACAAATCAGGCCTCACAGTAGTTCATAAATTTACCAGTCATGGTTGTCTCCTTAGAAAATTCATGTATCAAATAAAAACCCTTCGCCACCCTTGCTAAACTGTGTGCATACCTGACTTTGTGTGTCCTTTCCACCCTTTTTAAATTTTTCAGATTGATGGACATGAGCTAGGTTTTGCTCAGCTGGAACAAACCCACCCAAACCACTATCAGTGATGTTGATACACCAGCTAAGCCTCAGTGATTGCAGTTTAATGAGTGAACTTGTGATAGCAGACAATCCAATGTCAGTTACACGAAGGCATGAGCTCAGATCAAGTTCTTGGAGATTAATGAGGACTGTAGAAAATCGCAACACTAGCTCATCAGACAAACTGCTGCACCCATTAAGTACAAGAACTTTTAGGGGGACATTGTGATTTGTTCCCTGTAGTAAATAAAAGAAAAAAAGGAAAAAAAAGCATAATTTTTAAGTTTTTCACTTAGCTGTTGGGCACATAAGGGGTCATTGCAGAGAAAAAAATTCTGAAACTTTGATATCAAGCACCTTTTATGCCATTTATCTGTGGGGTAACATTTACATGTACGCTTCTGTTTGCACAGTGCATAATATTTCCCCTGAGTTTGCTAGAACAGCATGATATTTATACCCTACCCATAAAAAAAAAACATTTAATTGTATTCAAAAAAGGGTGTAGAGAGGTAGTATATTTGGTATTCTAAGAAAGAGAATGTGTTATATTTAGGCAGCATAATGACATGAGGGTGGGAGGGCGAGGAGAAGAGGGTTACTACTATGTAAAGTATTTTCCTCTTACATGTACAAATAAAGGGTACTGGTAACTAATCACATTCATTTGATAACTCAGGTGTTCCACCTACTCCTGCATTAAGCAAAAGATCACACATTTGATTGCCTACTACATTAAATCACCTTGTGTGATGTGAGGGTTAATGCAAGACAAGTTGTTTAAATCAAGAACCAAAGGCAAAATGTAGTTTTCTGATTAAAAAGACAAACCGAGTGGATTGTTAGGCCCGTAAACCAAATAACAGACCAAGTATGGTGTACAGTGGTAGATCTAGACCTTGAGCTGCAGGGAAGGTGGGGGGGTGTGGCAGTTTTTTTGAGCAGAAACACCTACTGGTCTTTCTTCCTTCTGCAGTTATTTTTTACTCCAAAAACAAGGGGAGCCTGGGCCCCCTGGGCCCATCCCCTTGATCTACCACTGAGGTAGTCTATTTATCTTTTTTTCATTTGATAGCAATGGGTTTGTTGACAAAATAAACAATAAATATTCGACCAATGAGAGTGCACCTAGCTTGAGAATTATTTTATGTGTTTAGAGTGATGGCAAGTTAATCAATAATCCCTTCCTGACAAGCCCCTGGGAGGAATTTCAGTGTACCTGTGTCCAGCATAAGAACTTTGTCAGGCCGCTGTTGGAGAGCTGGTAGCATGAATAGAAGTTCAGTGAGTGTAAGTTGATTAAAAGTGCATTCACAGTCAATAATGCCCCATCTGTTAACTGTCTGCAGCTATTTAAATCCAGCACCCTCAGGCTGTGTATGTATTTGCCGATGCAAATTAATGTGGTATTTGTAATATCCACACAAGCAAGTTTGACAACCTCAAGTGACGTCTGGTATTTCACAAGTGATACTACACCATTGTCTGTCAAATGTTTGCAAGCTGTTAAATTTATCTCTTTGAGTCGTAGTTCTGGTATCTGAGAAAATTTGAGCATCACTTCATCCGTAACATCAGATCGACTAATGTCAAGGTGTTTTAGAGATGACAACTTCTTTGCCATCTTATGCCATGTTGAAATTCCAATGCCCTTGCAACCAGAAATACTAAAATCCACGAGATTAGGCATCAAATCAGCTACTTTTAAGACCAACACATCTGATATGTCTTTACAAGCATTCAAATCCAGGACAGTCAACTGTCTCCAGACATCTGCACACTTGTCCAGCCAGATCCCATTTTTTGCCACGTCAAGCTGCCTGCATCGGCTCAAGTCTAAACGTACAAGGTTAGGACAGTATTTACTAAGTACTTCGAGTAAGTTATCATTGACGCATCTACACCCTTGAAGAGACAACACCTTGAGATTTGACCCAACTTGCTTACAAACTTGAAGAATTTGAGCAGCAGTTGTCGTGTGCTTGAATCTCAAATACTGGATACAGCGCCTTTGAAGACTGTCCACCAACAGATGGGAAAACCTTTCTCGTCGTGTTCCAAGACTGACAGAAACGTTTCTCCACAAGATGGGATCCTGCGAGGCCTTGGACCACTGACAACAAACAAGAGCTGCACATTTTAAGTCTGAAGCTTGCAAAAATCTGAAAATATACGACACGATTTCCAGCGGGAGAGCCAAAATAATCATATTATTGTTCTCTAAAGCACGACTTGATGTACCCACAGGCATGACAAGTGAAAGAATTTTGTTAACCCAGCTGAAAATTATGTTATTCTGCGAGTTGTAAACACTAACAACAGTTATTTTAAGTGTTGCCCTCTGGTATGATCCATTCGAAGCATTTACACGAGATCGAACACTCGTCTTCAGTAAAATTCAGATAGCTGGTCTGTCTTCTAAAGAACACGTTCAAACCTTTGGGAAAGCTACGCTGTTGTTTTCCTGTTTAACGTTATGCAAAACGCTCTGTCTCTCGCCATGTTTTCATTTGTGAGTGTATCTGCTGACCATGTATCGCC